AAATCAGTTAGTTAGTCAATGAGTTTATTAGTTTGTCAGTTTATGAATCTGTTACGGTGTTGAGCTTTTGATCGGTTATTGAATTGGCGAGTGTGTTATTTAGCCAGTTTTGAATTAGTATCGTAGATATTGTTTGTTTGTTTGTTGAATCTTGCGCAATCTACTCGAGGGCTATCTGCGATAGCGTTCCTAATTTTGAAGTGATAGACTATAAGGAAAGCAGCTCGTCAACATCACCCACCGCCAAATCTTGGGTTACATTTACAAACAAATAATGAGATTTGCCGTGACATTATAAAGCCTCCATGACTTAAAAGATCAAAATATTCAACGTTAGGTTTCGATCTCGTAAATTGCGAGTTGAGTGCCTTAACCATCAAATTAACGTCATAGATACGAGAGAGCCCCCCCCCCCCAATGGCTTAGCAATATGTTCGCTAAAAACCGGGTTTCGATACTCGCGGTGGTCACATCGTGTAGCTTTGTGTTTAACTGCACCCAAACAAACAAAAGATACGAAAATGAATTTACAAAATAAGTGACTGTTTAGTTTCATTTGTGAGTTAGGCCTATCAAAGAACGTAATCTGGAGAACGGTATCGAAGAAATAACTTTTTTACAATTAAACGGACAGGACTTTGTGTTGCTTTGCGTTGTATCAACAAATAGTCTGAGGAACAATTGGGTTTTAGTAAGTCCATGATTTTTTAATAATCTTACTGTATTGAGATATGTTAAAAATTCAACTCTATATTCAGAACTTACACGTTAATCAACACAAATTAATATTTTCAGCATGTATCTGTATGCCAGAGCTAGGGTTAAGAAACAAAAGTTGCATTAGAAAGGACAAACCTTTAACTATTCGTTCACTTGAAACTGTTATCGTCAGTGGAATAAAAACTAAGACATTCGGTATTTGTGGAGTTTGCTTTTCTTTTTTTTTTAGCACTCTTCTCTTCTTGTTTTCACGACCTCTGGTGGTCAGCGGTAGATTTATGTGATTCATTTATCCGTGATAATCAGAGTGGAGGCAACCCATTATGAAGCTTTGGAGAAAAAAAAAACAACTAAAAAGTTCAACAAGTGTAAGCCCAGCTGTGCTTTCGTATTTTTCGAGGCGACTTTCCAGGAATTAAAATCAACCATAATTGAATTTATGTAATTTTAATGTCACGAAATCTTCAAGTACTTTTGATTTTGTCCAAAATTTGTAGCTGATGGATTGTTTGTCTTTAAATAGTTTGCCCAGATATCACGAGATTCTGAGCAGCTTAGAAAATGTTTCCAGCTGTTTCTACTTCTATGTTTTATCATCTAATTAAATATTGAAATGCCAGTAAGTTTGCACTTCGTTCAGAAAATAAATAGCTAAGTAATTAATTGAAATAAAAGACTTAACAGTTCACATCAAGACCAAAAGCAACAATTTTGATTAGCCATAGCTGATCTTATGTGCTGAGTGAGGATATCCATGTTTGGTCATTCATTTATAAGAAGTTGAACAAACTGTAGATATTCTATTCATGATTACGCTTATAATGTACGTTGTTCTTATTTTTAATAGAAAACTATGCGTAGTATTTTTTTCTTGAGTTTTAAGAGTCTCAATTTATAAATCTTACAATTTCTCTACTTTCTCTTGCTCTTCCCATCTAAGAAACTCTCATTCGGATTAATAGTGATGGTATGTGATCTCACTAAAGGCGTAATACCTTTGAATGTACTAGTTGCCAAAAAATACGATAACTGTTGTAGAGGGAAGAGTTATAGAGCTTAAGGAGGTCTAAGTAGGTCCAAAGCTTTGCGCTTAAAAACATTTTTCTATACTTTGAATTGCTTTGACGTCACATAAAAATTAAAACAACTGACATGTAATCAGGGAGCGACTCAAATCTATCTCCTAATTTCATTAAAAACCGAACCACTACAACGTAAAAAAAATTACACCGTTGTGGTGCAGTAATCAACCTCAGAGTCATAAGTAGCTAGGCGTTTCGTTTACCTGATTCAAGTCTCTGAACAACTAATCATAATCCTGCCAATTTTTAGGGTTTTGTCATGATATTTTCGAAACCATATTCCCTATATTGTAATAGAGTTTGTCGTATGTCATTGACTAAATAACTAAAAATATCAGTTCTTATAGTTGAGCTCCGAGTTTGCATGCTGTCTAGATTAATTTGTACAGTAAACATCATCATACCAATGTACTAAAGAAGCTATAAATCTATGATCCAGCTTCAGAATAGGTTACGCTATTCGTTATAGTTCCCGCCAATACTGCCAATATACCTTTCGTTTAGTATCTTATTGGTTTGACATTTCAAATTTACATCTAGTATTGGAAAGAGAGTGTAGAGTGATATTTACAAAGGACTTCAAAATAGTTAAAAGACGGTCGATTGTGCAAAAATAGTAAACATTATTCGAGGAAAACTCGAAAAAGCTTTGACTAGTTATGAAAATTTGAAACACCGTTCAGTACAAGGTTCAGAGAATTACTACCATAAGGAATCAAGAATGCCATTTTGTTTAACTGAAACAGTCTAGATTACACAATTTTTCAATAGTAGTCCATGTTTCGTTCGAACCTCAAAAGTGACAGTTGACAGAGCAGAGAATATGTGGGCTCATGGAGGAACTTTAATTTTCTTCAACTTTTATCGCCATTACTTGTTTATTCATTATTCTTAAAGCTACCGGCAGCTTCTCTTGATGGTTTATATCAAAGGTACACTTAACCATTATCAAATAGTACTTCATTAATTTAACTTTTAAAACAAACGCATTAACAACTTGTTTTTTAAAATATCTATATTAGCTCATTCTGGACATCAGGGCTCAAATAATAAAGACATACTACGAACCCATGAACGTGTTCATTCAGTGTTGGATCAAGTTTAAAATATTATGTTTCCAGAGTGATTTAATCTATCAATAGTTCCACAAATTTAGAACTATTGTGATTATTCTAGATGTGTTAAACACACCTCTTAATTGTTGCTGTTCCATTCAAATTAAAGTTTCAGTTGTACTATTTACTGCAGCATTTGTTTTAAACTGAAATTCCAGTCCCTTCCTTTCCATAAGGCATTCCACATCAAAACTGTTTTTCTCGCGAGTTTCTGTTATTGTTGCTGAATATATTGCCAGGAACGGAAACCTTCGTCTGTCAGCTGCATTTTCTTGTCGTCAAACAATTTACAGGATAAACAAAACACTGCATCTGGTTTTCAAGGATATTATCAATCATGATCGTGGCACTTCTTCCCTTTCCGAAAATAGTTATACTCTGAAAATTGTCTTCCAGACTGGTTTTTCGTTAGATGAAACAGACTGATACCATCAGCTGTGGTTCATTATATATATATTGCGGCCATGAACCATTGTCAGAAATATTGAATTCCGGGGCCTTGTTATTCATTTCTTTATTCGTATCTTCAGATTGCAGGACGTCCTCTTCTGTTACTTCTGTGTCCTTTGTTTTGTATAGGTAATAACTTTCTTTCAAGATACATTACTTGTGTTATTCCTTTGATCGGTAACTTACGGTTGCTGGAGATTCGTTGGTAGGCAAAAAAAGTTTGCCTACTCGCGAGACAACGCCTGTGAGTCTATGCAGAGAGATCGTTCACATAATTGGTCACGGATTAGCATATTTGTAATTTTGAAACTCTATTAAAATACGTTTTTGAGTAAACTTGTTATCGTTCTCGAGGACGAAGCATTTGTTTCAAACTCCTGTGTTTATACAGTCACTTGATATTAAATACAACTTTTCATTTATTGTTTCTAGAAAATAGGATAAATTGATGTATCGGTTCAGTTAAGGCATTTTGAATCACAATTAATAAAGCAATCTCATAAAAGTATCTTACTTTAGATATGTGAACACACTTGAACCAATCAGCATAGATATATATATATATTATCCCGCCTTTGATTAAGTCAAAACTATTGACTCAAAACAGTGAATCACTTATGTCATAATTAGACACAATATTTCGATAAAAATTCTCACTTAAGTTATAACAAACATTGCTTTGTAACGATTCTAACAATATTTAGTTGAACTTAATCACTATTACAAATTGTGTTAATATTATTTAAGGGTGGTTGTTTGAATTATTAAAACGTGCCTAACTGTAGTGAGTTACCGTGCAAAAGGTCCTGGGCTCGAACCTGAGCAATAAAGGATGCAGAAAGTTAGATTACCAGAGAAACATATATTTCTTGATGTGATAGTCAATTCGTGCTTAGTTATATAGACATCAAAAATTTAATTTGCTTGCATATAAACATTTATATGCTATAGTTTCATTTCTGTGTGTATACATATATGTTGTAACCGAATAATCTGTGTTGTAAACAGTTTTTTTTCCTTCCAACTGATTATGAAGGCAGTGGATGTAAATTAATAATATTTAATTTAAATTTGTAAAGCTTCCTTAAGAACCTTATCATAACATCACGTGTTGTTTACGTCATTGTCCACCAGGCGTCAGCGTGGTTAAATAAGCGTGGGAGTTTTATATAATGATGTTTTTGACATCCTTCCTGTATAACATTCCTTTCACACTTCCACATGAACTGTGAATGATAATAATGACGCAAGTGTTCGTTCTATTTGGAAACTGCTAACATCTGCAATTTTTGAGACTCTAAGATACAAAGTGTTGGAGCTTCATACCACACACACAAACACAAGTATATATTTTCATTAGTGCCACTTAATATGATGATGAATTGTTGAGTTGAATTCTTCTTTCTTCACAGTCATGTAAAAATATGGTAACTACGTGTCTAACTGACACGCAGCATTGGTTGGCGCTAGATAATTTGTTCATTGAGTTTTGTAGATTAATCAATCCCAGCACGAGCAGGCGGACAGGCATGCTAATACAAAATCAAAGCATCTGTACATTGTACTAATTATTTGACTGCATATTCAGAAACTAGCCTCCAGTTCGTTATTTAGTCGCTTTATCTTAGCCGGAATGGCCGAAGGGAGAGAACAAGTAACCGTAGAATTAACTGGTGGTGGGCCATGGGGTGTCCGATTTCAGGGAGGAGAAGGCACATTCGAACCTCTCACTGTACATAAGGTAAGATATAAAAATTAAGAAAAAACAAAAAACGTCGATCAAAATGAAAATGAGTTCTGAGTAATGTATTAAAGAAACATTGATGTAACTTGTACTACTTTATGCAAATACATGTCAAATTTCAGTGTAAGTTTCAGTTTTGTGACTTCAACTTCTTTAGTTATCTATGTTACTTGATTGTGTATTTTTGTCGTAAAAATGTTGCCCGAGTATAAGTTTTCGTAGATGTGATAACTAATATATATATATTCTGTTGTTTCAAGAAATTGCCGATGTTTTGAATATATTTAGCAACTAATGTACTGTAAGATGAACTCAAAACTATTATATTGGTACGAGAACGACAGTTGTAGATTTAGCCGAGTGTTTGCTTGATATACAGCGAGCAGAAGTGTTTCTAAATGCTTAAAAGTTTCGGGGCTCGAGCCCATAGGCGCGGGAGTTTTCGGCGTTTCAGTGTGATATCGATCATGGTTTTCTATTCTGATTTTTCAAGACACCAACTGGGGATTCTAGACACTGTCAAATAGAATCGGGGCACGGGCTTCGTGTGACACTGTCTATCGACGCCTCTGCGAGCGAGGATGGAAAACCGTGTTTTGATGATAAATGCGGAAAGCAGCCTAACCACTGAAAACCAAAAAGCCTAGGATATTATTGGGAAAAAGTCACGGGCTTCATTTGAAGGAGCTGGCAGGGGCAGCTGCCCCTTCAGGCTCGTAGGGGACCCCAAATAGCAGTTTCTCTGAGACATTTCTGTACAGACCAGATTAACACACATACACAAAGTGTGCCGTATCTTAAGGCCCCAGCTGAATTGGGAAGGCCACGCAAGGTCAGTCTTCTTTGCCCTCTTTTGTGAAATGACGCTCCTGACAAAAGTTGCACAATGGTTTTATTGCAGATCTTTTTTTCATACTCCACTTAATTAGTTCAGTACGAATTTCAAACTACAGGTATATAAAATAACATTTTATATCTATGTTTTGTTTGTCTTTATTTATGGTAAAACAAATATTTCTATAGAATCTTATATCGTTCTTTGGTTTGCCACAAGTCACTGTCCAGATAGTTTTTCTTTAATATCAGAACTTCCTAGCCGAGGTGGACAAGATGGCAGCCAAAGTAATAGTCTATAAAAAACGCTATTTTATTGTTATTGGTTTATTTGTTTCTTTGTTTTTTACCGTGGGGAATCAAACGCTGGATTTTAGTATAGTAAGTCTTTAAACTTACCGCTCTGTCCACCACATGGAATCGAACCCCAAATTTTTGCATTGTACACTTACCGCTGACCCACCGGAGGACCGCTATTTTATATACAGTACGAATTATGGCGTTAACCTCTGAAAGCTGGCGAAGCGTTGGAAACCAATATGACTAATAATACTTGAAATGAAAATTACGTTATTACTATAACGGATTTTTTTCTACATGTTCTTAGTTAGTCAATTATGGATTTCATTTAACAGGTGCGTAAAGATTGCATTTCCGGTCTTTTGTTTGTGTTTTTTGAAATGTTTATACATTTTTGTTTGATAAAGTTTCAAGATAACTTCGTAGTATTCTTGTGCATTTTTTGAAAAAGAAGAAAATTACATTTATTTAAATAAACTACGGTATAGTATTATAAAGTATAAAAGATATTGTTGTAAATATGTTTTTAATGTTTTAATTTAGACGTGATGAATCGTTTGCTACAGGGAGTTATGCCTTAACGTAATGTCGATGTGTGACACCTAGAAATTTTCAATCACGTAATGCTGATGTGTGACACATAGAAATTAACGACAGATGAAAA